TATTATTATTATTATTATTATTATTATTATTATTATTATTATTATTATTATTATTATTATTATTATTATTATTATTCACAGATAAATATTAAATGATGGAACTTGCAGACTTTGGTGAAAAATAGAAATCCTTACCAACTTTCAATTAACCTGAATTTCTTTTATTGCACTGGGTCATTGCAAGTCCCAGCATACATAGATTTTAATTTTTCTACTCACCAGAAAGTAAAGATAGTGGACATCTGGGAGTTTTGTTCATTTTCTACCAATATTATGTTAAGTATAAAGAAGGGGAAATTCTCTGTTCTTGTGGGACTTTAGTTCATATCCTTTGTAGCTAAAAGGCTTAGTGTGGAATGTCAACAATACATGAAGGGATCCACCAGAGGCTGAACACAACGAAAACTTGCTGGAAATTGATGTTGTGAAAATGCCATAAAGCTCAAGACTTAGTAGAAGTAAAGGAAAGAGGAACAAAGCTTCTGTCTTCCAAACTGCAGATAAATTTACATTTTGTGTCACACAAACTGATTATTCTTGTTCTTTGCTCTCTCTAAAAAGGTCGAGGAAGAAATGGAAGAAATGGTCCAGTGGTGGGATTCAAAATTTTTTGCTACTGGTTCTGTGGGTATGTCTTAGTGGGTGTGGCATGTCTTGGTGGGTGTGGCTTGGTAGGCATGGCAGGGAAAGGATACTGTAAAATCTCCATTTCCTCCCCACTCCAGGGGAAGGTTACTGCAAAATCTCCATTTCCAGTCCATCAGCTGGGACTTGGGAGGCAGAGATTAAATGGGGGCAGGACCAGTCAGAGGTGGTGTTTACTAGTTCTCTGAACTACTCAAAATTTCTGCTACCAGTTCTCCAGAACCACCTCTGGATATGTCATAATATTGAGGAAACTCTTGCAGCAATCTGCAACTTAAGGTAGGCTTAGCTTGTTACAAAGGGTCATGGTTGCTCAGTGGCTAAGATGCTGAGCTTGTCAATCAGAAAGGTGGGCAGTTTGGTGGTTCGAATCCCGAGCACCACATAATGGTGTGAGCTCCCGTTTCTTGTCCCAGCTTTTGACAACCTAGCAATTTGAAAGCATGTAAAAATGCAAATAGAAAAATAGGAGCCACCTTTGGTGGAAAGTTAACAGCGTTCCGTGCGCCTTCGGCATTTAGTCATGCTGGCCACATGACCACGGAGACATCTTCAGACTTCAGCTTTGAAACAGAGATGAGCATGCCCCCTAGAGTGACTAGCACTTACGTGCAAGGGGAACCTTTACCTTACCTAGCTTGATATATGGCTATTAGCTGAATTTATTTAGAAACAAAGAGATATTTATGCAAGTGGTTCTACACTGTTTTGCATGGAGTTAAATTGAGTGGTTGAGTAATGAGTAGTTGCAGGCAAAGATGGGACAAAATCAGTGGAATAAATAAGTAGGGGTGTTTTGATTTTCTGGAAGTCTTTCAAATGATAAAAATAAAACCTTTTTTTAACCACCAGAGGGCACCTCTCAGTGTCATAATAGACCTTCATCTAGTCTCCTGCAGCCTCAGATTCTGCCTTATCCCCCCCACCCCTGACAGATGTACAAGAGCATCGCGGCATGAACTGATGGTGGGCGGCAGCTGCCAAGCTGGGACCGGGTTTGGCTGAGATCCATGCTCTTTTGATTCCCCACTAAATGATTCCTTGATCAAAAGCTGACCTTCGCTTCCTGGCAACCCCTTCTCCTTAGAAGTCCTCCTCCTTAGGGAATTCTGACCATTTAAAAAAACAGGGGGAAACAGGGGGATTTTAAAAACCACAGCAAGGAGTGAAGATGGAAAAGGAGAGCAAGGCATCTACCCAGTATGGATCCCTGGAATCAACCAAGTGGACTGCAGCAGATTCAGGCAAAGGTAAGTTTACTTTGCACATCTGGGGTACTGCTGAAATACCAACTCAGTTCTATGACCTTTACCTCTAGCAACAGGGCTCAAATCCTTGCACCTGTGCAGGATAAATATATATGTGTGTCTGTATGGGTATTGTGTATAAATATATGTTTGTATCCATGGTTATTAACACATGGATATTCATGTGTTAACTGTGCATGGTCTCCTATTCCTTGAAAGTTTTATAGTAGTCAAGAGAAGATTGATGGCTCATTCCTCTACCTACTTCCTACACCCCCACAGCTCCTGGAGATGTTGTGGCTTATAGGAGGGGCTTCTTGGTCACTTGTCTATTTCCCTGGCAATCGAGACAGAATAACGTGTCATTAAGTAGTGATAGGGAGAAAAGAAGACAAATATGAGCAAGAACATCTGGCTGAGAACCAAAAGATTTGGTTCCTCTTTACCCCCCTCCCCCAAAGATATCTGACCCAGATCATTGCAGGATGGAGTTTGTTTACTAAAGACTCAAAGGAAGAAGCTCTTAGAATAATTGAAGGAGATAGTCCCTGGAAGTTAAAAACACGTGATTTGGAGGTTGCCAGAAAAGTAGCATCCTCATTCTTAACTAAGATGCCTGAAGATAGCCTTTATTTTTCTAAAGGAATTCATTTATTGCTTCCAAATGTGGTTTTTAACTCCAAGTAAGGATTTATTATTTATTTCTTCAGGGGAAAAGCTCCCAATTTTTGTGAATGGGAAAGCAATAAGCCAGCTCTGACAGCAATAAGCTTAATGACAGAACAGACTCATCGCTTGTCCCTCCGCATCTATTCTCTTGTAATTATGGATTTAAATTATATAGCAAATAGTATTGAATCAAGTGAGAAGCATCTATCCATCTATCCAACCACTTTACTAAATTTATGCAATAAAACACAAAAACTGTTTGAAGATAAGAAAATGGCATATGGACATGCATTTCAGAAATCTGCTAGTTTCACCTAACTACATGTCAAAGAAGACACTGTCATTTTAAAAGGTGGATCTGCCTGGATAAGGCCACACTTGGAATACTGCATTCAGTTTTGGTCGCCACGATGTAGAAAAGATGTGGAGACTCTAGAAAGAGTGCAGAAAAGAGCAACGAAGATGATTAGGGGACTGGAGACCAAAATATATGAAGAATGGTTGCAGGAACTGGGTATGTCTAGTTTAATAGAAAGAAGGACTAGGAGAGACGTGATAGCAGTGTTCCAATATCTCAGGGGTTGCCACAAAGAAGAGGGAGTCAAACTATTCTCCAAGGCACCTGAGGGTAGAACAAGAAGCAATGGGTGGAAACTAATCAAGGAGAGAAGCAATTTAGAACTGAGGAGAAATTTCCTGACAGTTAGAACAATTAATCAGTGGAACAGCTTGCCTCCAGAACTTGTGAACGCCCCAACACTTAAGAAGTCTTTAAGAAGATGTTGGATAACCATTTGTCTGAAACGGTATAGGGTTTCCTGCTTATGCAGGGGGTTGGACTAGAAGACCTCTAAGGTCCCTTCCAACTCTGCTATTGTATTGTATTGTATCACTTGCTGTAGATATGGCACTAAGTTTGGGTCATTTCATCGTAAATATAGCTCCTTGTTGACTCCCCACTCTGAAAACAGCATGCCAATTAAAGGAACCATTTCCTGTTCTTCCATATAAATTGAGAGGGCATTCAAGTATTCCCTGCAATGGCTGTGGGAATTTTTGGACCATTACAGTTACATGTCATCTCTCCATCTTCATGCTGCTTCACTTAAGACAACTAAAAGTCTTGAGTCAGTCCAGATCACGTGTTGGAGAGATGTCTTGATTTATGTAGAAGCCTGAGTATCTCCTAGGCCAGGGGTCTCCAAACTTGGCAACTTTAAGACTTGTGGACTTCAATTCCCAGAATTCCCCAGCCAGCATAATAGAAATTTGTGCCAGGGCTGGTATTTGACAGAGGCACTCAAACCAGAGCATTCCCATGTTAATTAGAATGCTAGGCACCTAAAAGCAATTTCTCTTCCCCAAGGTCATGTAAGGCAGATGTTTGCAGTTTTTCCTCTCTTCTGTTTAGAGGAACTCTTCCTAAACACAACAAAATTGAGCTTAAGCCCTGCCCTTTTTTGCTTGCCTTGACCTACCAGCACAGACCAAGTTGGCTCCAATAATGAAATGCCGATCTTATTACTGACCTCTGCTCATACCGTATATATTAAACAAGCTTTCGTGTAATAGAGAAGGATGGCACTGCTGGCCTTAAGGTTTGCATAAAGATAACGAAGTTACAAACTTGTTTCTCTCTCTGCACAAGTTATATTTGGCAGAGCTGATCCAAGGATTGCAGAACTCAAATCAGTACAAGATGATTTTGGGGGGTTGGGGGAGATCACTTATAACTCATGTCCAGTGTTTCAATTTGTCCACAGGAGCTTGTTGGATATTTTTTTTAAATGCATGTGCCACCAACTTTCATCAGAATCATTTCCCAGAAGGAGGAATTAACAATAAATAGCAATACTTACAAGGTGGGTGGGGTGGGGAGAACACAGAAACCTAAGAAGCTGATGATTCTAGGTCAGACCATTGGTCCATTTTGCACAGTATTGCTGGCAATGATTTACAGGCAGCAGTACTTCTTTGTTCTTTCTGGAGATGCCAAGAATTGAATTTGAGTTCTTGGATATGCCAAGCATATACTTTCCTGCTGAGCTACAGCCATTCATGAAAGAACACAAAGGGCACCTTAGCATTTTTTTAAAAAAACAATGATAGAAACTTCAGTGAGGGAACATCCTTATTATCAACACATCCTCTTCACTGACAGGTGTGTCATAATTGTTGCTCCCTGTTGGATTTTATTTAAAGAGGGGGGAGCTTCTTCTTTGACCCAATAAAAAGGCTTTTGTCTACTCACCCTTAGGAAAAAGACCTATTCAGGCATTTCATTTTTCAATAATACGTTTCATTTCAATGATTCCCCAGGGAGATAATGTGAATAAGTGTGAAGGCAAGCACATACACTGCAATCTTAGAGTTGAGACTCTAAGATTATGTTAAATCCTTGAAGATATGTTGAAGGAAGGGAGGGAGGGAGGGAGGGAGGAGTCACTCTATGGTTGACATCCCTTCAACTTCTAGAGTGGAGGAGATGCTAAAGATTCTCCCAGTGTTTCAGTGTTGTTCCATGTCTTTAGCCCTTATTTGCCATTCAAGCATTTTGCTTTAGTTCCAGTTGAAATCTTGGTAGGAGGTCAAATACTTTAATTCAGAATCCAAAATATTGAGGTACGGAGGAATCAACATAGACCATGTATTTCAACCTAGGAACAGCCATCCTTTTCTCACTAATGATCTTTACAGAAAAAGCAACAGAAAAAGCTGCTGGCATAGCAATGACCTCCTGGCTCTCTTCATTTTTTTATTTTGCAACTGGTGGGTATTTAGCAATGCAGCAAACAGCAAAATAAAACAGGATAAATCAAGGCCTAGGAATGAGGGAAGGGCTAGTCATGGGGATAGGGAACAAGTGGAATTGCTACACCATCCTAGCATGATGGAGGTAATGGATGTTGTATTCAGGCTCCAATAGTCCCATGGAAAACCCTCTCACTACCTTCTAAATAGTAGTAGTAGGAATTCCTGTAGTTTCCTTTTCAGCAGGAGTGGGCAATGTTTTTTAAAGTCCTTTGAGATGGAAAGGACAGGGATAAGCTAGGAAACTATGGAGGATAAGGCTGTGGAAACCATGTTTAGAGATGAAAGAAGATCAGTGTCATGGGGAATGAGGTAAAATTAGGAATGACAGTTCTAACAATGTTGAGGTACTTCCTGTACCAAGGAAGAATTGTTTTTTTATTGTAAATATTCATATGGCTATCTTATATACAAGGCTCACAAAAAAGACTGATAGGGTTTCATTGAGTTCCATGCAATTAACATTGCTTAAGATGCTGGCAACACTAATCTTCAGCCTGTTCACTCAAAGGATTGGCTGATGTTAGACCTTCTCCTTCTCTTCGTTTCCATCCTTCTCACTAACTGATTTTCTTGTCTATTATTTCTTCAGGGGAAGAAATAGTTTCTATGGCTGACTCTACAGCTACCATTGATGATATTGAAGGAGAACTTTTCAAAATTGAGAGAATCAGGGATGTTCTTGTGCGGAGAGAATCAGAGCTCCGATACATGTGAGTTGGAAATTTGGAAAATTGGGTCTTTGTGTGTATGTGATACAGTATTCAGATGATGGAGGGGAGGAGTATCATTTTCCAAGTTTGTAAGGTAGCAAGAAGCAGGTAGTATTGAATTCTCTTGCTAGATTTTTCTTCCTTCTCCCCTCCTTTTTTTCACCCTATCAATTTTCAGTTGATAGGGTGAAATCTTTCAGAGATCCTGGAGCACTAGGGAACTACCAGAGGACTGGAAAAGAGCTGATGTGGTTCCCATCTTCAAAAAAGGGAAAAAAACAGATCCAGGAAACTATACACCTATCAGCCTGACCTCAATACCAGGAAAGATTCTGGAAAAGATAATCAAGCAATGAATTTGTGAACTCCTAGAAGCAAACAAAGTAATAGCCAAAAGCCAACATGAGTTTGTCAAAAACAGATTATGCCAGACTAATCTTATTGCATTCTTTCATAATGTGACAAAATTAGTGGACCAGAGGAATGCCGTTGATATAGTTTACTTGGACTTCAGTAAGGCATTTGATAAGGTAGACCATAACCTACTACTAGATAAAGTAGAAAAATGTGGGTTAGACAGCATCACCACCAGATGGATGTGTAACTGGCTGACCAACCGCACTCAACGTGTAGTGCTCAATAGAACTGCATCTTCATGGAAGGAAGTATGCAGTGGAGTACCCCAGGGCTCTGTTTTGGGCCCACTACTCTTCAACATCTTCATCAATGATTTGGATGAGGGAATAAATGGGGAACTCATCAAATTTGCAGATGACACCAAGCTGGCAGGAATAGCCAACACTCCAGAAGACAGGCTTAAGATACAGAAGGATCTTGACAAACTTGAACATTGGGCACTATCTATAAAATGAAATTCAATGGTGAAAAGAGTAAGGTTCTACATTTAGGCAACAAAAACGAAATGCACAGGTACAGTATAGGTGGTACCATGCTCAAAAGTAGTAACTGTGAGAGGGATCTTGGAGTCCTAGTGGACAACCATTTAAATATGAGCCAGCAGTGTGCGGCAACTGCCAAAAAAGCCAACACAGTTCTAGGCTGCATAAACAGAGGGATAGAATCAAGATCACGTGAAGTGTTAATACCACTTTATAATGCCTTGATAAGGCCACACTTGGAATACTGCATTCAGTTTTGGTCGCCACGATGTAGAAAAGATGTGGAGACTCTAGAAAGAGTGCAGAGAAGAGCAACAAAGATGATTAGGCACCTGGAGACTAAAACATATGAAGAACGGTTGCAGGAACTGGGTATGTCTAGTTTAATAGAAAGAAGGACTAGGGGAGACATGATAGCAGTGTTCCAATATCCCACAAAGAAGAGGGAGTCAAACTATTCTCCAAGGCACCTGAGGGTAGAACAAGAAGCAATGGGTGGAAACTAATCAAGGAGAGAAGCAACTTAGAACTGAGGAGAAATTTCCTGATAGTTAGAACAATTAATCAGTGGAACAGCTTGCCTCCAGAAGTTGTGAACGCCCCAACACTGGAAGTCTTTAAGAAGATGTTGGATAGTCATTTGTCTGAAATGGTATAGGGTTTCCTGCCTAGGCAGGGGGTTGGACTAGAAGACCTCCAAGGTCCCTTCCAACTCTGCTATTGTATTGTATTGTAACTCAACAGTTTTTGTCCCTCCATGCAATTTTGAACACGTCTTTGCACTGTTCAATCCCCACATCTGCAACGCATTCCTCAGAATAATTGAAGGCTTCATTGCATGAGAAGAATCTCTCAACAGAATCAGACGAACTTCGCTTCCTCAAAGGCTACATTGTTCAACCTGCCCCAGAAATTTCAGAGGTTTCTGTGATGACAAGCTGATTTGGAAAGAACTCCGAGAGTAGCAATGTTTGCAAAGGATTTATATCAGAAAAGCATGGATTAGGTTACTGTTTTTCTATCCTGTAGCCCTCCTGTCTTTCACATATTTGACAGAGAGAGAGGAGGGGAGAGAGGGATATATGTGTGTGTGTGTGTGTGTGTGTGTGTGCGTGTGTGTGTGTAAATATCCCTTCTGTCAGCTGAATATTTTCCTTTAAACTTGTCATTCTGAATACCTTCAAGAGTTCAAACATGGACAGCATGATTGTAAAAACAAGAAAGCAGACCAGTATTTTGAGATTAGCTTGCACTGCCTATAGCTTTAGACAGTGGTGAAATTCATATATTTTTTTACTACCGGCTCTGTGGGTGTTGCTTGATGGGCATGGCAAGGAAAGGATACTGCAAAATCCCCATTCCCTCCCCACCTCTGGGGGAAGGATTCTGCAAAATCACCATTCTCGCCCCACTCTGGGACTAGCCAGAACTACTCAAACTTTATGCTACTGGTTCTCCAGAACCTGCCAGAACCAGCTGAATTTCACCCCTGGCCATAAGGCACTGTGAGAGAAGGGCTTCCTATCTGTGTCATGCCACAACCGTTTTCTTTGCTGTCTCATCAGGAAGAGCTATTTTTCCAATACTGAGACTTAGAATGGTTAAGAATATATTTCTGTAACTCAGATTCTTTTACTAGAGAATTATTTCTATCTGGCTTCCAATCACTCCATACTGGAAGCAATTAAGCTGTGAATTCTGAGGATAAAGTTGACTCTATTCCAAGTTCTGGACTTAGCAAGGAAGGTATGTTGCAGACCTCATAACTTAAAGAATCCCAATTGGTAGAGACTCTTTCTGCCATTGCCCCTGTCCTATGAAAAAATCTTCCCCCAAGAGTAAATGATCCCCCCTCTCCTGACCTATCAGAAAAATTAAAACTTGGCTCTACCAACTCACATGGGGCTCAAAGAGGGGCATGCAAATCTGAAAGTGGTTAGAGACCTGAAGACATTCACTGCCTCCTACTGCCTTTTAATTTATTTTTGCTGTGTTTTTACTTGGCTCCCATTTTACTAATCTTGGTATGTACTATGTTTTTATATGGCTTTTAAAGCTTTTGTCTGTAAACTGCCCAGAGTCATTCTGAGAGTAAGATGGGTGATATCTAAATTTGATAGGCAGACAGAGAGACCAAGAGGCAAGCATTTTAAAAGGTGATTCTAGCCAATGTACATTTCTCTTTTAAATTACTGTATCTTTCAGATTATAAAACACACATTAGTTTTTGGGGAGGAAAACAAAAACATTCTTCCTCTGCCTACCAGCATCCATCGGTATTCATCTGGCTGGCGTCCTTGCAGTAAACAGCAAACAGCCTGGTCAATTTCAGCACGTTATCACATCCTGATTCAGCACAAGCAGCTAATTGGCAATTGGACTGGCCTCCCAGAATACCGCCTATCAGCTGTTCCAGGCTGCCAGGATCGCCACAACCCATCACCGCATGTCACGTTTTTGGCCTCTGTGTGTGAGATTTTCGGCCTCTGCACACTCTGTTTGAGACCCATTCCAGACTGCCAGGATCATCACAGCACATCACCACCGATCTCCCCCTTCATGCATTGCATTTTTGGTCTCCATGCATCACATTTTTTGGCCTCTGTGCATTTTCAGCCTCTGCATGCCCCATTTTCAGCCTCCACACACCCCATTTTCAGCCTCCGCATGCCCCATTTTTGGCCTCTGCACATCATATTTTTGGTTGGTTCCAGACCACGGGGATCTCAGTTGCTGCCTCCAATCCCCATTGATCCCTGCCGATCCCTGACACCTGAAACCAGCCAAAAATGTGATGCATGAAGGCCAAAAATTCAACGTGTGGAGGCAGCAATCTGCAGCGATGTTCTGAGGTGATCCCTACAGCCTGGAAATGGAGCGTGCGGAGTCTGAAAACGCGACATATGGAGGCTGAAAATGGTAAAAGGGTGGGGGCCGGTGGAGCTTCAGCAATATTCAGTGTATAAGATGCACAGGCATTTCTACCCACTTTTGGGGTGGGGGCGCATCTTATACTCCGAAAAGTAAGGTATATAGATCAGCTGTGTAACAATGCTGGTACAGTGCAATGATAGACATATCTATTCAGAGTTCATAACCTTAGGCTCATCAGAGTTTACTCTTACATGTAATGCAGTGTTACAAAAAGATTTTAAAATGTACAGTGTGGATCTATAGATTTACTTAATGGGATACGAATTTTAAAATTTTGGTCTTTGTCCTTGGTCAGACTCAGTACCATGGACAGCTCCTTCAGACTGTGTGCAGCCTTACTCAGCCTGGCATCTTTTTACATGCATTATTAGTATTAGTATTTTGCTTAGCACATAGATTCTCCTGTATTTTTCCTCTTAATTTTCATTCATATTTACTGAATAAATGTTGGAAATTATTTCAAAGGAGAGAAAGTTGCAGTGGTTTTGATAAGTGAAACGTAGTTTTCCTACACTTAACTAATGAAGTAGTTATGAAGAAGTATGTGTGAATGACTTGAACCCCTTTTCTTTTTCTTTTTTTTTGCTGTGCAAACATAGTCATATAATATGCATTGTTATTTATTTATATGCCTTCCCACTTTCTACATAATTCAGAGTGGCTTAATAATCAAATTAAAAACAGCCAGAAATAACAACAGCAATTAAAACCAACACATCACAAACTAATGAACTAATATTTACTTGGTTTCAGGCGCTGCTGTTTCTTTGAGTGTGCTTTCTGGCGAGTATGTAGAAATAAACACAATGTATGTATAATATTTAGGCATATTGCAAGGAGTGTGTGTGGAGTGGACTTCTTTCAGCTGGAGTTTTCAACTATAGTTGGAGATAGGGGAATAGGGCACAGGATAAGATATCTATCTGTCTGTCAATCTGTCTATCGCTATCTATCTATCTATCTATCTATCTATCTATCTATCTATCTATCTATCTATCTATCTATCTATCTATCTA